AGCAGACAGAGTGCCCAGTAGGAGAGAGAAGGCCAGAAAGAGAGAAGAGAGAGGGAGACAAAGAAGCTCCCAGCGCTTATCCGTCTTTGGGAGAATCACTTATCATTTAGACAGGAGGAGTCCCTCCCAGTTTTCTGGTTGGGTCTTTCAGCCCCTCGGACACTTGCATGGGTGGGAGTGACCTCACTGGCTGGGCGGGAAGAGGGCTGACCAAACTTTGCAAACAAAGAGAATGGATGGGGCTGCCTCTGGTCAAGCTGCTGCTGGATCCAATAAAGACCCACCGGCGGATAATCTCCCACCATCATGCCAGAGGCAACAATAACCCTCCAAGAAGCTGGCAGGACCCGAAGAAATAGTATTCCTACCCGGGCTCTAGTTCATACATGCACATGACTCTTCCAAAGACACGTGTGTCCACATGCCTCTGTGATCTGTGATGGCTGCCAATAAGTTCTCACCATGAACACGTCCCGGCACTCCCTAGGAAACATATTTCTAGAAAACTACCCCCGCGGGTATTGAGGGGTGGGAGGAAAGTGGTCACTGAACAGAGTGCTTGAGAGAGAGGAGTATAGAAGTTCAAAGGCATAAATCTGAACTGAACACCCAAAACCGTGTCAGTAGATTAGATCCCCCCTATGAGTGGGCTGGACCTGATCAGGTTTCCAAAATCTTCTGTACTTTTGGTCTGCATCGATGTCTGCGGCTTTTGTTGGTTCGTAGTAGAGTGCGTGTCAGAGGTGCTAGGTCTGTGGAGGTCACCCTCCTGAAGCTGTGTCCTGTGCTTTTCCATTTTCCAGTCCATGAAACCCGGTACGGATGAAGCCATAGGGACAGCAAGCAGAACAAAGGATTCGGGGAGAGGAGCGGGTAGGGGTGGGAGTCAGGTGGGTAAAAGGGAGACCATGTCACGAAATCCATGTAGAAAAAGAATGTCTGGAAAAAGATTGTGGCAGCAAGTGTATAATCTTGGTGACGTGACTGAAATATGGAACGATATGCTATGTGGAATCACAACTAATACAGAGAAAAAGTTCAATCAAAACTAGCTCACTCCCTGCCCTTGAGTTAATTCGAACTCGCGACGAGCTTGTAGGATGGAAACACTGCCTTCAGAAGTGTATAACCTGTGGAGCATAAATCGAGACATCACAGATTCACATTTTGATATGTGTGTTCACTAAAGGTTTCCGTCATTGTGTAGAACTACTTTCTGCCTCCCTCTCACATAGAGAACACTTTCTGGCCGGATGCAGCCCTCCGGGTCTCCATCTCTTTAGCTGTCAAATGGACTTAATAAAAACTCGGATTGAATGAGTACCAGGTAAGTAGGGAGTATTCGTACAGGTGAAGGGACGGTCAGCCTTCAGTTGTTCTGTGCCCTCAGGTTATTTGGGACTCAATCCACCCTTCAGGTCAGAGTAGAATTTCTCCACAATGTTTTTAAAGCTGTAAATCATCACAGAGGCAGATGGGCTTATTGTTCTCCTGAGAAGCAGCTGGTGGGTTTGAACTGTGCTCCTTGCAGTTAGCAGCCCAACTCTTCATCCCCTATGCCACCAGGCCTCGCCCAATAAAAAGTGTCCCAGTTAACTCAAGACAGAGAGGTCAGCAGCTCTGTGGTAGGATTCCCAAAGGGCCTTCTTGCTGGATGTTTTGAAGGACTCGAGATCTCAAGAGGCTTAGTCTGAAGAAGTTTAAAGAAAGTTGAAAACTGCATGGGTGATAAAAAGGTCAGGAAGTTGTGCTGAGGCATTTATTAATTCACCTTGCCAATGTACTCCGTTATCCTTTGATGTGAATGACTGTCCTATTAGAATTTTGTTGGGAAACTTTACCCCATCCACATTTTGGGCCGGATCTTGGCCTTTCTGGCTTCTTTTTTCCCCCCAATTCAAAGAACTTTGAGCAGAAACATGATTTGAGTCTCTCAAGGATTCCTGAACTCCCATTGGACACAGTGTAAGTTGAAGAGCTCAGAGTTCGTCACTGATGGATATACTGCTTGCTGCAGTGTCTAGACCTAGGTGGGGGATATGTTGAGAGATAATAATATTGCATTTGGATATCTTTGTTTACTGAAGATTTATGTGGCAATACTCATCACCTTGGCCTAATTCAGATATCACTTACTGGCTTAGCTCACTAGACTTCTCGGCGGAGGTTCTCAGTCTCCACATCTGTCAGATGAGATTCATAATACCATCTGTCTGTTGACACTATCATGAGAATCAAATGAGATGACCCAGGACTGGGTAAGAGGTGAACACCTGCAAAGGTGAGCTGTCAGCCTTCAATTGGTCTGTGCCATCAGGTGGGTTGGGACTCAGCCCCACGCTAGAGCACAGAGGAAGACCATCCAGATGGATTCTAAGGCTGTAATTTCATGGGAGCAAAATGCCTATTTTTTCACCTGAGGAGGGACAAATTTCCAACCTTTTGTTAACATCTGAGTGCTTAACCAGTGAGCCACCAGGACTTCTCATCACACCCTGCTCTCAGAGGCCCTGATAACTACTGTCCTGTCTCTTCCAGCCCCTGCCACCATGAGAGCAGGTCCCCCACTGTGTGCACCACGGAGCAGGGTTATGGGGGTCCAGGAGGGTCTGCCCACTGCCTGCTCCTTCCTCAGCCTGGGCACAGTCTGCAGCTCTCAGCTCCCGTCAGCTGGCCGAGGTCTGAGTCCTGGTCTGCCCTGTCCATCCAGCTGGGCAGTGCCTCTAACCCCTGCTACATTTTGATCCTTCAGGTGGACATCACCTGTTTACATTCATTGTTCTAATTCTTGCTACTTCTTCTCCAATTCTCATTCCCTCTGCTCTGCTCCTACTGGGCTGACCCAAGTACATGTGATGGCTGGCCCTGCCCTCGTGCTCAGCACCGCTGCCCTGGAAACACAGGTGAGGGCCCTGAGCACACAGGAGCTCTGCTCTCACAGGTCAGGAGGCTGGCAGTTTCCGTTCCGAGCATGGCTCTCCGGGAAAGGCTCTGTCTGTGGGCTCTGGGGAAAACCCTGATCTCTTTTCAGCTTCTGTCCTCAGCTCCCCGGTGGTCATGTGTCACCTGTCTGCCCCTATCTTGGCTTCCTTATGGGAGGGTCTTTACTCATTAACCATCAATGATTGCAATATAAGTCATCCTTATCCACTCTAACAACATGTCTGTCAACATGTCAGGAATAACTTTCTCCCAGGAAGGGACTCCACACTTGGAGGTCACACTGCCTTCTGAGCACAGTGTCCGATCCCAAACCAAACTCGCTGCCAGCTAGTGGATTCTGATTCTCGGGACCCTGTAAACTCCAAATCCCCAACCTCACTGTCCTTGTGTTGATTCCCATTCTTGGCGACCCTAGAAACAAAATAAAGATCAAACTCGCCGCCAGCGAGTTGATTCTGATTCCCCGGGACTCTATAAACACACGACAACAAACCCCAACTCATTTTAACCCAGTAGCTTCTGACTTAGAGCTCTGGATAGGACTAACGCGCGCTGAACCAAGTCCTGGTATTTTCCATCCCCTCACATGCCCGTGACAGTTGGACACTGAGGAATAAGGACCGAATCAGAAGGCTCATTTGAGTGATGGTTCTGGCAAAGAATACTGAAAGCCCCCATACCACGGACTGTCAAAAACCCAACGGATCTCTCTTGGAACAAGAAGTACAGCCAGAATGCTCTTCAGGAGTGAAGATGGTGAGGCTCCTTCTCACATACTTGAGACATATCAACCGAGAGGCCAGTCCATGGGAAAGGACATCATGCCTGGTCAAGCAGAGGGGCAGCGGAAATGAAGAAGACCGTCGAGGAGAAGGATGGCCCCAGTGGCTTCCTCAAGGGGCTCAAAGGTGACAACATCGTGAGCACAGCTGAAGCCCAGGGGGCTCATGCTGTTGAACTTGGGGTTGCCGTGAGCCAATTGGGACTGATGGTCAGCACCTGACAGCACAGCAACACCAGGTAGCCCTGCTCTCATGAAGGGTCACTATGGGATGGAATCCACACGCTGGACTCGGGAGACCCAGGAAGGCAAGGTGGTCTGTGAGTTCCGGCTTTCACTGCTCTCGTTCCCATGTACACACACACACACACACACACACAATGCCTTGTCTTGGGATTGTCAGTATGTGTGTGGAACGGGCCTTCTAAAGCTGTTTGTCTGTGGGAATTCTCTCATCTGCACCCCAATGAGGGAGAGGGGTCATATGTGGCCCCCCAAAAAAAACAATGTTGGGATCCCTCTCCTGCCCCTCCCCATCCCCCAACTCCCCCCCCACACACACACCCCACACCTGGGAGAAGGTCACAGGTACACTTAGTCTCCAGGACCACGCCCTCATTGGGAGAGAGGTGGGCGCATGGTGGCTGTACCAGCACCTCAGCCTCTCCTGCAGTCTGTCCCTCTGTGTCTTCACCCCGGCCCCCCCCCCCCCCCCACTGCGCGCACACGGCTTGGGGAGATGTTTGGGGACCTGGAACAGGTGGTAGGGGTGCAACCGCAAGGCGGCTGCCCGCCTCTGCTCTGCCTAGGCTTGGTGGGCAGTCTCGGATGCCTGCAACCCAGCAGCAAGACCCCTCCTGGGTGGGACCACGGGGCCTGCTCGGAGACTCCAGTGCTGCGCACCTGGGCAGGGATAATGGGGTCAGGACTGCAGTGACCTGGGCAGGCCACCTGGAAATCCCGATCTCTGGATCCAGACTGGGGTTGCATGGTGCCCAAGGCCTCAGGGCAGCCTGGGCACACCTGGCTCATACCTGCAGGAGGGGCGCTGTGGCTCCGCGACTTCATTGGCTAGTGAGGCAGGCAGTGCAGTTCAAGGGCGGGGCAGGAGCCTGAGCACAGAAAGACTCCAAAGGCCTCAGCAGGTCCCTGCCTCTGGCTCTCTCTGGCCCCGCGCAGCCAGGTGCCCCATCCCGGACCACTCCCCGTGCCCAGCCAGCGCCCAGCCAGGCCCTAATCCGCTGGCTCCTCTCCGTGCCCGCCCCCACCCTCCGCTATGGTGTCCTTCGAGGAGGATGGAAGCTGGAGCGTGTCCTTCGTGGGCGCCGGCTTCCTGGCTCTCTACCACGTGGGCGCGACCCAGTGCATGAAGGAGCGCGCCCCGCGCCTCTTCTCCGGCACCCGCCGCTTCTACGGCTCCTCCTCGGGAGCGCTCCAGGCCTTGGCCATTGTCAGCGGGAAGTCCGTCGGTGGGTCTGTCCCTGGGCTGCTTGAGTTCAGGAGGCACCTGTTCACAAACCCTGCTGCGGGGACTTTTAGGGGTGGAGGTGGCAACAGGAAGTAGAAGCAGGTGTCTTCTGGGGTACCCCCTGGCCCTTTGTCCTAGCACTCTTGTTGAACCTCGATGAGGACCTCGGTTTGGGGGGTCAGAGCCCCATTTCACAGTGAAGGAATCTAAGCTTAGCCCCGGAAGGGCTTTTTCCAGGGCCTCAGGGCAGGAAAGTGGGCGCAAAATTGGAACCTAGGGCCTGAGGCAGACGTTCTCAGCGGGAGGGTAGGTGAAGAGGGGCGTATCTCCCCCATTATTCACGGGAAAAAGAGATGGGCAGTGGGGAGGGGTGTGGGCAGCCCCTCTGAGGAGTACCCCCTACCTGTCCTCCTCAGAATTCTGCTGCACCCACCTCCTGGGCATGGTGAGGGTGATCAAGGGGCTGAGTCTGGGCATCTTCCACCCGGCCTTCGCCCCCATCGAGCACATCACCTGGGAACTGCAGGAGAACCTGCCCGCCGACGCCCACATCCTGGCTTCAAAGCAGCTGGGCATCTCGCTGACCCGCTGGTCGGACGGCAAGAACGTCATCGTCACCGAATTCGCCACCCGAGAGGAGCTTATCCAGGTGAGCAGGGGCAGGGCCCAGCTCCCCAGGTGTTTCCCAGGAGCAGAGGCACCGCAGGTGGGAGGGGGAGCAGCTGGAGGACCCTGGGTTTGCTCCACAAGTGGAAACTGAGGCATAAGGAGTGGCCACAACTTGCCCATGTCACTCTGGGGGTGCACGGCCTCCACGTTGTTGGGGCGGCTCTAGGCTACGTGGAGAAGGTTCTGGATGAGGAAGGGGCAGACCTCTCAGATAGGACCCTCTGGGGAAGCCGCGGCTTCCAGGTGGGGTGCCTGCTCAGTTCCCACCTGGGACCACGTTTACTAGATGTTATTCATGTGCCTCTCAGCGTTTCAGCGCGGTGACCATAACACGCTGACAGGAAACAGCAGGCTAGTTTGGGGGTGCGTGCGTGCATGCGTGGGAGGTGCTGGGGCACAATGGCCTCATCTCCTGGTGAGTGAAGACAAAATCCAGCCCTGAAAGAAGAGTTGGGGGTGGGGTGGGAGGAGAGAGGAGCAGCCACACGGTCTGTTCTGTGGCAGGGGGCTAGGCTTAGGCACAGGCAGCCCCCCAGCAGTTCGTGTCAAAGCTGCCACTTGGGCAGGAGCCTCCACTTCGGGGAGAAGGTGGCCAGCAACCCAATCCAGGCTCTGCTCTGTTATGCGGGCACATGGGCTCACAGTGCCCCACCCCCACCCCCCACCCCCGCCGGGGCCCAGCTCCCTCGGATGTACACGGGATTTTGATGCCCACGTCCCTGACTGTTTGGGGAAGAGACACAGATGTGGCCCCAGCGGCTCTGAAGGAAATGAAGAAATGAACAGGCATGACTGCCCTGCTCCAACCCTTGTCTTTCCAGGCCATGGTCTGTACCCTATACCTCCCTTTGTACTGCGGGGTGATCCCTCCGGAATTCAGAGGGGAGGTGAGTCACTGAGCCCCTGCCCTGGGCTCAGAGGGCACCTTCTATGGGACAGACCCTGTCCCCACCCCTATAGCCAGCATCCTTGGCCAGAGTGAACCCAGTGGCCTGGGGAAGCTGGAGGGTGGCCAGCTGCCACCCATTGTCTGCTGCTGTCTCCAGGAGGTGTGGGAGTGGACGGGGGAGCCCAGAGGGCAGCACCACCCACCCGGCCCTACACCCCATATTGCAGCGCTACTTTGACGGAGCTATTAGCAACAATATGCCCTTGGAAGACAAGAAGTCCACCATCACCGTGGCCCCCTTCCCCGGGAAGCAGGACATCTGTCCCCAGAGCCCCTTGGCAGGCATGCGCGAGCCCCAAACCGTCAGGACCAAGTTCCAGCTCTACCTGAGGAATGCACTCAGGGTGTACTATGCCATCTTCCCACCCAGCCCAGAGGTAGGTCTGCCCAGGACTGCCAGACACCCACCCACTCACATGGCCTCGTTAATCTAGCAAAGACACGCTCCCCAAATGGAATGATAGGCTCAGGGACACCCACTGCCTCCGTGTATGAGCCAAAGCCAAACTCGCTGCCACTGAATTGATCCCAACTCTTGGCAACCGTGCAGGACAGGGTAGAACGGTCCCTGTGGGTTTCTGAGAAAGGAACTCCCATGGAAGCAGACAGCCCGTCTGCCTCCTGCAGAGGGTCTGGTGGGTTCAAACTGCTGACCTTGCCATGAACAGCCCAACCCTTAACCACTGTGCCACCAGGGCTCCAGAGTATATAGGGCCCCTCTGTAGCACTTCTGAGCTACAGAAGTACATTCTTGAAGGAAGCAGTATGGGGTCATCTTTTCCCTAGGGAGCAGATGGTGGATTTGAACTCCTGACCTTGCAGTTATCAGCCCAGTGGGTACCTCATCCACTCCCAGGGCTTCATGACCACAGGTCAAGATATAGAACACATGTGTGTGGGGGGTCCGTGGGGAGTACCTATGAGGGGCCCACCATTCCATCCATGCCAGTCAGGCACCAGCTGCCTGGTCTTCACTCCTTAGTTTTCTGCTCAGCTGCCAACTAGAAAGGTGGGTGGTTCGCATCCCCCCAGAGGTGCCTCAGAAGAAAGTCCTGGTGATTCCTGGACAATCAGCCATTGGAGCACAATTCTGCTGTGATGCAAATGGGGTCACCAAGAGCTGGTGTCATCTCCATGACAACTGCTTTGTTTATTTGCTTTCTGGAAAATGGGCAATGTGACCACACACTGTCATTAGCCCACCAACCCTCCCCCCTCAGGTGACCTGGCTGTCCTGGGGCCTCCAGCAAGGGACCCAGAACTATCCACCAGGGCTGTCAGCCTTGTAGCCTGGAGGGCTCCGGTGGATAGGGGTGTGGCTGGGCTCCCAAGATGCTGTGCCCTTGCAGACTGGTCTTGAACATGAACACCAAGGACCTGAAGGGCCATGACCTCTGGGGGTGTCACAGCTGTCCCAGGCAGGCTGAGTGTCTCATTGTCCAGAGGGCAGGGCTAGGGCTGGGGGGCCCAGTCAAGGAGTCTGGGAGAAGGAGTGAAAGGGGGTGCTGAGGGAAGCAGCATATGTTGTTCTGTCCTGGGGTCCCCCCAGCCCTGAATCCTACTTGAGGGGTCACTGGGGGAGTGTAGGCTGAGCTGGAAGCCTCCAATTAAAGACAGATGGAGCCAGATACTGGCCCCCATGACCCCCATGTGTTCTCAGGTAGTGGCTGACATATGCAGACAAGGTTACCTGGACACCCTGAGGTTCCTGGAGAGACGGGGTAGGTGGCAGCCCCCACCCTCCTGCATAGCTGACTGTGCCCCGTGGGAACTGCATGCTTGTGCCCACCAGGGGGCGCTGCCTCTGGGCTTTGGGAGCTGCTGGGGAGCTGGGCTCACTCCCTCCTCTGTCCTGTGATGTGTCTTAGCAGGACGCTGGGCACCTGGGAGGGGTCACACTGCACACTGGGACAGACCCAGAGACCACTGGGGAGGGGGGAGGTTGGGGAAGGAGGATGCCATTGACTGGCTGTGGAGGGTGTGGGGCAGGGAGGAAGTGTGCAGGGAGGACATTCTAGGCAGAGGGAAGGAAGGGAGAACTGAGGTGAGCATCCTGAGGGGCAGAGAACTCAGGGTGCAGTAGAGTTTGTGTGTGTACATGTGTGTGTGCATTGCACATGCATGTGTGTGTGTTTGTATGTGTGTATATGCATGTGTGTGTGCATTGCAAATGTATGTGTGTATGTGCACATGTGTGTATGTGCACATGTGTGTGCATTGCATCTGTATGTGTGTATACATGTGTGTGTTGCATATGTACGTATGTGCATCTGTACATGTGTGAACGCAGTGCACATTATGCGTGTGCACCTGCATGTGTGTGCATGTTTGTGTGTGCATTACATTTGTTTGTGTGTGCACCTGTATGTGTGTCATTACATGTGTATGTGTATTGTGTGTATGCGCATGTATATGTGTGTGCTTATGGATGTGTTTGTGTGTATACATGTGTGCATTAAATGTGTGCATGTTGTGCATTACATGTGTGTGCATCTGTATGTGTATGTGTGCATTACATATGTGCGTGTGCATCTGTATTAGCATGTGCATGACTGTGTGCATTGTATATGTATGTGCATCTCTATGTGTGTGTACATGCATGTGTATATTATTTATGGATGTGCCCGTGTCTGTATGTGTGTGAACATACATGTGTGAAATATATGTGTGTCTATGTGCATGTGTATGTGTGTGTGTTTGTGCACAGATGCACTGTAGAATGTATGTCTATGTATTTGCATGTAGGTGCGAGAAGGTATGCACGTGTTGTATTTGTGTGTGTATAGTGTGTGTGTGTGCACCCGCAGATGCACTATGTGTGCCTGACTGTGTTTCTGTGGATGTGTATGTGTGAGTAGTTATGCATGTGCTAAGGGTGTAAATGTATGTATGCATACATGTATGCATGTGTGCTCTATATGTGAGCATGAATGTGTGTGAGAGCAAGAGAGTTCATGGGGTGATAGGTGGGCCAGAGTTTGGATGGTAACCTCAGGACAGGGCTGTCCACAGTGGTTGAGCCTTGATTCAAGCAGCATCTCAGGCTTAGATGTCCCCATGGTCTTAACCCCAGGTGACAGCCCAGGGAAGCCACCGCAGCAGGAGCAGAGCTGGACACAGAATCCATTCCAGGCCTCTAGAGCTTTACATGTGACCTCGCGTGGCCCTCAGGGAGCCTGTGAAAAGCAGGCTCACTCACTGAAGGGAAAACGAGGCCCAGAGAGCTTAGGGCACATCATTTACAGGTGGTAGAGTCAAGATCCGAAGCCTGGTCCCTGTCCTCAGGCTTGGCCACGCCGCCCACTCCCCTAGAGAGTGACCCGGGAACAGGAACGGAGAGAGTGGGCACACCTGGGGCAGACAGGTCACCAGGGCAAGGTGGGCATGGGGAGGTGGGGACCTTGACTAGGGTGGCAAGGGCAGCTGGCAGAGACTGGGCACATGCTGAGTGGTCGTCCCCACCTCCCCCATTCCTCTTCTCTTGGCCCAGGACTCACCAAGGAGCCCATACTCTGGACTTTGGCATCTATGGAACCTCCAGCCCCCGCCGAAGGCACCCAGGACAGTGTCAGTGATGAGAACAGGAAGGCAGGGCCGCCTGTCAACTGGGAGGTGCCCAACGTGTTGGTCAAGGATGTGCCCAACTTTGAGCAGCTCTCGCCAGAACTGGAGGCTGGTACTGCCCTGCCCAGCTTGGTCATCTACCAAGTGCCTCCCCCAGGGGCCAGGGCCAGGACGCTGCCCCGGGGGACCATGTGGTCTGGGCAAGGACAGGGCCGCCCTTTCCTGAGTACCTACAGAGTGCATGCTGCATATGTATGTGTGGCTGACATGGGTATCATTGACAGCCCAGCACAGGTGTGATGCGGTGTTCTTACCCCTTGCACTGCGGAGGACACGGGATCTCAGGCTGAGGGCGAAGAGCCTGCCCTCGGGCAGAGAAAGAGAGGAGGGTGTGGGCAGAGACAGGATAAGGGTCTCCATGGGGGTGGGTGGGACATGAGAGTTTGATAGGAGATGGGAATGGTGTTGTGCAGGGATTGAGGATGAGGGTCTGCATAGAGGACAGCAGGGCCTGGGAGCGGATGGGATGAGGGTCCAGACAGAGTGCACAGCACATGCAAAGACCCCGGGAGGCCGAGAGCTGTGAATCGGGTGCGCTCAGTACCATGGTGAGAGGCAGGGCAGCGGAGATGAGCTTGGAGAGGCCCGGAGGACTGGACCCCCAACTGCTGTGCAGGCGGTTTGCACTCACGTCCCCAGGATAGGACAGAGAAGCCCTTCCCCGTAGGGGTTCCCAGACTGTAATCTTTACACAGACAGACGGCCACATCTTTCCCCAACAGAGCAGAGGGTGGCTTGGAACCAGCTATCTCATGGTTCACATCCCATGATTTGTCCCTGAGCCACCGGGGCTCCGGGAGAGGGGTCCTCGAAAGCCACCCAGAGACAGACAGGTGGGAGCACTGGGCAGTCTGAGGGGGTGGCGCTGACTGAGGATGAGGTATTTGTCTTAGGGTGAGACAGTAGGTCTAGGGGTTAGGCTTGGGGATGGTGTGTTTCAGGTTTAGGGTTAGAGTTAGAGCTAGCCTTAGAGGCAGAAACAGGGCTGAGCTTAGATTTAAGTTTAGGATTAGAGAGTAGATTTAAGGTTTGGGACTATGCTTAACTTTCAGGTTGAAAGCTGGAGTCGAACTTCCTGGGCACAAGCTTTCTTCCTCTGCAGAATTGGGGGTGGGGTCCCGGTGGAGGGTGGCTGGGCCACTTGTCCTCAGGGTGATGCTGAGCGGGGAGGCCAGAGGGCAGCTGGGCCGGTGCCAGGTGGGCTGGGCCATGTGCTGGCTTCTCTTGCAGCTCTGAGGAAGGCGTGCAGGGAGAAGCGTGGCCTCTGGGCCCGCTTCAGGAGGTCGAGCCTCGGGCAGGTGATGACGTACCTGCTGCTGCCCTACACGCTGCCTGTGGAGTACGTCTTCTTCCGGTGCAGAAGGTGAGGCCCGGCATCCTTGGATACTCGGCTGGGGCTGGCCTGTGGTGGTGAAGACCAGGGCTGAGGCCCTGACCCACGGGGAGGGCAAACCCAAGTGCTGTGGGACTGACTGCTCTCTGCCTGGCCTGGGCTTGGCTTCCCACCTGGAGACTTGGTGATCTCCCCTGCAGAATGGACTGACAGGGAGGCCCGGGAGTGGGGGAGAGGGGCAGCTAGTCTGGAAGCAGCCTGGCAAGTCCCCTCTGTCTGTGTGGCCTCTGGCTGAGTGCAAACAGGGTGCCCCCTTGGACGTTAAGTTCAGGAGCCAGTGAGGCTCAGGCTGCTGTGAGACCTCGGCCAGGTTCCTTAACCTCTTTGGGCTTCGGTGAACCTCCTTGTCCACAAAGCGAGGCCCTTCCATGTCAGCCTGGCCACGGCCAAGCCCACACTTCCCCTTCCAAGTGCAGATCCAAGGGACTCTCCGTGGTCTGTCCATTCAGTTCACCAACAGGTACGGAGGGCAGGCAGCAGGGGCTGGGAAGGCACCCTTGACTCTGAGCGTAGATGGGTGACCCACCCGACAGCCATCACTGGTGTGCTTGTTCAGCCTCAGCCCTCAGGGAGGGAGCTAAGGTAGGGCCACGCCGGGTCTTGCCTGGGACGGCTCCCACCAGCGGTCTGGTCTGAAGGCTGCCCAGAGGCGGTGAAGGCAGGTCGGTGGCTGTGTCTTGGTGCCCACTGAGTGCACAGCTGGCCTGGGGAGGCCACTTAGCCTCCTGGAGAGAGATCTGTGCTGACACAGACTGTCCTCAGCAGAGCGGCTAAAACAAGGCACCGCTGCAATGTGGTTGTGGTTGTGGTTGTGGCTGTTAGGTGCCATCGAGTTGGTGGTGACCCATAGCCACCCTCTGCACAACCGAACCAAACACTGTCCGGTCCGGCACCGTCCCCGCAGTTGGTCCTATGCCCAAGCCCACTGCTGCAGCCATGGTGTCAGTCCACCTCTGTGAGGGTCTTCCTCTGTTTTGAGGCCCCTCCGCTTTACCAAGCGCCATGTCCTTCTCCAGGGACTGGTCGCTCCTGACATGTCCAAAGCACATGAGACAGAGATTGGCCGTCTGTGCCTCTGGCAGTACTTCGTCCAAGACAGATCGGTTGGTCCTTTCAGCAGCCCGTGGTACTTTCAATATTCTCCTCCAGCGTCGCCATGCAGACGCATCAATTGGTCTTTAGTCTCCCGTCGTCACTGTTCAGATTTCACACGCATGGGAGGCCATGGAGAATCCCCTGACTTGGGTCAGGCGCCCCTTCTTCCTCAAAGTAACTTCCCTGCTCTTCAATACTCCAAGGTCTTGTGCAGCAGGCTTGCCTAATGCAACACGTCTCTTGACTGCTGCTTCCATGAGCATCGATTGTGGACAGAATCCTTGACAACCTCAACCTGTTCTCCATGTAGCATGGTGTGACTCATTGGTCCAGTTGCAATGATGAGGGGTCAATGCCAAGTCTAACGTCTCCATGTAAAACCAAACCCCGGGGTGGAACCACATGGGTGGACTGCCCAGATTGTAGGGAAGGGACATGGGTCCCACGCAACCCACACGGTCATCACACATGTCACAATCACAGAGGCCCAGGATGCAGTACAAAGAAGGGATGGATGGTCATCACACTCTCCGGAATGGGAGCCTTGGGCCCAAGGGCCCCTGGGGACATGGGAGGTGGGAAGGCTCTGCAGTGTCTAGAGGGCATCTCACAGGCCCTTGTGTGGCGGGATGGCTGTGTCACCACTGCCCTGAAACTGGGGTCCCTGCACAGAGCTGTGCTGGGCCACATGCAGATTGGAGCCTGGGCACTGGGCAGCCATGGCAGCATTTGGAGCCAGAGAGGGCCAAGATCAGATGATGGTTTGAGGAAGCCCAATGTCTGTTGAGAAGAGAGAGGCTGGAGGGGCTTGGGTGGGGACACAGAGGGGTCCCCGATGCACTGGGCTGGGACTGGGAGAAAGGGGAGGAAGAGGAGGGACAGATGAAGGGCTGGGGTTAGGAACTCAAGGCCTGGTGGCTGAGAGGGGGCAGGGAAGGGGCAGGTGAGAGTCAGCAGTCATAAGGTTATGTTCCCACATGACAGGTGAGGAAACAAGCCCAGAGGTTCGGCATGAGCAGGGAGCAGGCTGCACCCCGCTGGCTTGCCTGACCCCTTAGAGTCCTGCCCTTCCAGCCCTCTATGTCCCCCGTGTGTGCTCTGTGGAGTCAATGGCTCCAGTCCTAGCCACTCCCCCACAAGTTCAGTCTGACATAGCTCCTCCCCAACCCTGCATGCATGTCAGGGGCCCTGGACTTCCAGCCTGCTCTGGAGGGGCCCACAGAGATGGGCCTCTCCCTTCTCCTGAGTGCCCTTTTCTCTGCTTCCCCTGGGCCTGGGGTACCATTGGCAGCCCCCACAGCCCTTCTGGGATCCAGGGGTGGGCTTGGCAGGTAGAACTGATTCAACCCCATCCTCCAGGGTGTTGGCCTGGCTGCCCGATGCGCCGAGGGACCTTCGCTGGATGCAGGGTGTGCTGAGAGACCTGGCCGGAGGGCTGTTCTCCAGATCCAAGGCCCAGCTCCTGGGGGCTGTCAGGTGAAGGGACAGGGGCCCCTGGAGTGGGGAAATGTCCACTGGCACTGTGACTGTCCACTGCTCTGTGGAAGGCCCTTGCTGGGTGCTGGGTGCTGGGTGCTGGGTGCAGGAGCTGAGCAGCCTCATTGTTGGGTCCACCTGACCTGCTGGGGTGGTCACTAAGTCCTTCTCAGACACTGAATTGTCCCTGATCAACTTGGTGGCCATCCTCCCACCATCATGCAGGCAGATACCTGCAGTCTGCATGGGCCTGTGGCCCCCTCCCTGGCCCCCTTCCCAGAGTCCCACATTCCAGGCTCCACACATAGCAGCCTGTTGTCTAGCAAGGAAATGGCCCAGCCTCCCTGAAGGGAGAATTGGCACTGACCAGTCTCTCCCCATCGCTGTTCCAGCAGATACCTGACTACCATATCCCTGCCAGCAGCCCCCCTGCAGCATTGATTGGCTTCTCCAGCAGACTAGGACGTGGAGCCCAGATCCCATGCTGACCCTTATCCTGTGGCCATGTCTGCTGCCCTCGGCCTAGGCATGAGGTGTGGGGTTGACCCGTGGGGTACAGAAGCTCAGCACCCATCTCTGGCCCCAGTGGCCTCTGAATTATCTGTCAGCAAGAGAAGGCCACACTCTGCCCACAAATGTCCCTGGGCCTCGTGGGCAGGTGGCCCTGGGAGTCAACAGAGTCTCTTGTCAGGTGCACTGCATCTGAGGTCCACCTACTTTCTCACTGCACCCAACATTCCAGCCAGAGCAGTCAGCATCTGGGGCCTGGGGGAGTCTCAGTCCCTGCTAGCAGGTCAATTCCTGTGCTGGTCACCAGCCTGCATTCTTCAGATGGTGCGACCACCCCCACCTCTTATTCTGAGTCTCTCCGTCGTCCTGGTCCTGAACTCCCTGCTCCACTCCCTGCTCCTGCTCAACCCTTTCCAGTCTCTCTGTGGTCTGTTCCACTCCGCATCCAAGTCAATGCTTCTCAGAGCAGACACTCTCTCCCGGTTATGCTGCACTAGAACTTGGGTAGACACGAACGTTGTTCTAGGAAGAAGGACTGTAGGTGCAAAGGTAGGACAGGTTTGGCCCATAACTAGTTAAGCCAAGAATCAGGCTCAAAGAGGTGAAGTACCTTGCCCCATGTCACACAGGAGCCCACTGGTGATGCTGGCATCCAAGCCCAGGTCAGACTGGTGTTTGCATACCATGGTGCTTAATAGAAATGCAGGGACTCAGGCACCCCACATGTAATTCGTTTTGCCCAAGTCTGTCTGGGCATAGGTGCAGATAGAATCTGTAGTGCCTGGACACTGGTGACCTAGTGTGCCACTCACAGGCATGATCATCTGACACCTGCCTGAGCCATCATCCTGTGCCTCAGACTTGCTCTATGTCATCTGGGGCAAAAATGTACGTACCCATTGGCCAATATAAACCCAGCAGGGGCTGGGGTCCTGTGGGGGCCAGCCCACAACTGAATGGATCCTAAGGAGCAATTGTGTAATTGATGGGTAAGAATAAAGAGACAGGCAGAACACTTAGGGTGCTCCCCTTTTCCAAGGAGTCTGGCATCAGAGAGACAGAGTGAGAGAGAGAGAAGGGAGTTGACTGTCCCCGGAGTGGGGAGAACATTAAAACATGTCTGCTCCTATCGACAAGGGCTGCCAACCGCATAGCGATCAGCCAAGGGCTGGTAAGAGGTATCATTGAGGTAGCAATATTATGGGAGGACATTGTGGGGATGACTTTTAATTATGAGAACATGACTGGGATTCTTCTCCAACTCTCAAATATGAAGGCCTCCCTCCACCAGAATGGTGGTCTTCTGGGCTTCATGATGAATGTACCCACACACACTCTCTTCCATGTCCACAGTTTCTCACAGGGTCCTGTCATGCTAACGGGGTTCCCTCGACAAATGGGGAATTATTTGCTTCCAAGTAACTTGATTCAGGAGGAGGAGGTGGGAGCTGATGAAATATATGCTGGTGACAGTTGATACGGTGTGATGGGTACAAAGAAGTTTATTTTGCCGTTGCCTCTAATCATCTATATGCTTGGCATCAGAATAGCAAGCACTTAAGTGTAAAATGTTGATAGTACACACATAGTGGAAATGTATTCATATAAAAAAACCAAGCACTTCATGATCATACAGGCTGGTGTGCTTCCTCCACGTGAGCTTGTTGCTTCTCTGCTAAATGGCTGCTTGTTTAAGTTTAACCCTTTAAGACTCCAGATGCTATATCTTTTGATAGCTGAGCTATCAAAAGATATCAGCTTTCTTCATCACATTTGCTTATGCACCCATTTTATCTTCAGCGATTGTGTCGGGAGGGTGAGCATCACTGAATGCCAGGTTGTTAAAACAAAATTTCCTTGCATTGAGTGAGGGCTTGAGCAGAGGCCAAAAGTCCAGCCACTTCCTCAATGTATTGCCATATAAATATATGTATCTAGGTCAATACTTCTATTATTACGAATTAGTGTATTTTACTTGTGTACACAGCTATGCTTATACCTCTGTCCATAGCTTTGCTTCCTAGATCATTCCTCTGTTTCCTTTCACCTTCCTCCTGCCACACCATCACGCTTGCCCATCTTTTGACTCTCAGTAATTCCTCTCAGCTAGATTGCTGTTGCTCCAACACCCCCAGGATCTCTATGTCCACCTCATTGTTGATTTTAATTCCCTAGTTGTTCCCCTGTCTATGGTATTGTTTGCTTACCACTCCCTTCCACACCTCTTTCTCCTCCCAGTCCCTCCAGTTTCTTTCTCCTCAAGCTTACTTCCCTTGCCTGTCTTATATAAGTGACATTGGGGCTGGGAACAGGCATCAGAAGACCCAAAACAAACACACAACACCATATTGTTGAGAACAAGAGAGGTTGGAGCAGAGACCTAAAAGCCATCTGTAGACAATGGGACATGCCCCCACAGAAGGGTCACAAGGAAGGGATGGGTCAATCAGGACACAGTAAAGCACCAATGAAACACATAATATTCCTCTGGTTCTGTGAGGCTTCCTCAACCCCCGTTATCATGACCCCAGTCCTGCCTTTCACTGCAGGCTAGACCAGAGCATGTGCACAGGTACAGATAAGAGATAAGAGCCCACGCCACATGGAATCCAGCAACAGGATTGGGAGTAGCGATACCAGGAGAGTAAGGGGGAAGGTGGGTAGAAGAGGGGAGGAAGAGGGAACCGATTGCAGTGATCAACACATAACCACACACACACACACCCTCTAGGGGGACAAACAACAGAAACTGTGGGGGAAGGGAGACAGTGGTACATGTAAGATATGAAAATAATAATAATTTATCAAGAGGTCAGGAGGGTGAGGGGAGGGAGAGAAGGATAAAAGAGGAGCTGATACCAAGGGCTCGATAGAAAGTAAATGTCTAGAAAATAGTGATGGCAACATATGTACAAATATGCTGGACACAATTGATGTGTGGATTGTTATAAGAGCTGTAAGAGCCCCCAATAAAATAATCTTTTAATTTAAAAAAAAAGTCAAGCAAAACCTAAGTATCCAGAACGGTGGCCCCTGTGTCTCAGATGGGTAGACCAGTATATCCTGGGAGTAGCCTGCGTTCAGCACCACAGACAGCAACCTCCAGCCGTTGGATTCACTGATGTGTCCAAATGCATGAGGGGTCTCTGAAGGCATTGAATGTGATTGTCTTCCAGAAGCACTGTATTCACAAAGGGTCTCTTCATAATAGAGGCCCTTCTGGCTTCTTCTTACATACCTCCAGGGACAAGGTGCTCATTACTCTTGGGGCCATCCAGGTCTTGGTGAGCAGTTGTGCTCACGAGAAGCTCCTGTGTCTGCTCTTTCAGGATACCTGTCAAAAACCAACTGCTCGTGGATGTTTGTGTTTGGTTTGGGGATCTCTCTTCTGTCCTATTGGTCTGTTTGTGTGTCTACGCAGAGTTTCAAAGTCAGGGAATTTACAGTAACTTTTGGACCAGGTGATATGAGTCCTCCAACTTTATTATTCTTTTTCAAAACCATTCTTCCAAGTTTTCAATTATTCAATTATTCTAAGTTCTTTGCTTGTCCACATACATTTGAGAAGTTTGTAAACATCTACAGAAAGCCCAGTGGGAGTTTGCTTGGGATTGTGTTGACCAGAGATGAATTTAAGGTGAATGGACATCTTAGCAACGTTCAGTCTTCTACTCAAGGTCCAGTCTAGCTCTCCATCACTTCACAAGCCGCAGTTTATACTGATGTATGTCTCATTATGTAATCCCCACAGGGAGCAAAATGTAGTACATAATAAAAACAAAGATGATTTTTATTCCTAAATTCCTCTCCTGTCCCAAAATTGTCATTATTTTGACCCTTATCCTTATAGAGTTGTACTTGTCCCTGGATTTTACATAAACAGGCATCTGGCATGTGTTTGTTTTCTATGAAGATGTGATCCATACTGAAGGCTGTCATCCTCGATCTTCATCAGGTAGTGGGACAACTCCTTGCGGGGAGCTAATGACACAAGGCTAGAGCTGCCTCCCTGAGAAAGATGGATCGCATGTGGGATGGGTAGGTGGTGGCTTCTTATTCCAGAGTATCTGTTGGGATGAGGATGTGGTTTTGGAAGGGACTCTTCTGCCTGGTTTGGGGCTGGAAATGTGGGCAGGGCCCAACATCTCTTTTTCATTCAGAGGCTTTGCTGGGTGTCTGTGTGTCCAATCATAGTCACCTGAAGCTCCAGTTTACCAAGCACAGTCAGTTCCTGCCTGCTCTAGATTTGACTTTGCTTATGGATACAAACACACAGGTTCCAACTAGAATGGAGATTCTTCACCTCAAAGAACCTGGTTGGTTCCTCAGAGCACTGGGTTGATAGAAAAGGGCAATTTATAAATTGGGGGCCCGAAAAGGGGAGGGAGGAAGGCTTGAAGTGGTGGGCTTACAAAGGGTATGGGTTAGGGAGATGTTGACAAGATTATAGGATTCAGGTGTGATGTCCACAAACACTGTAATTATTGACTATTTCTGTTTTGTTCACTAATAGAAGAAAAGATTCAGCTGGGCCTGGTGCATGTTCAGTTATATGCGTTTTAGTGGTATCCTGCTAGGTCAAAACATGGTTTCATTATTGTCTTTGCTTAGAAATGATGTACAGGTCGAGTTGTGTGCTGGTGTCCAGGTGAAAAAGGGGGGTCTCTAGTATTTAGATTCTATGTCAACTTGAAACTGTGTGACCATGTATGCATAGAGTCCAACGTCAACAGGTCACAACCTGATGATGCCTTCCTGGGGGTGTGGCTTTATAGAGGAGAGATGCCTCGGGGGGTGGGGGGGGGTGGCTGCTGGTCTGGAGAGCAGTGGATACTCTGCCATGTTTCCACCGACCTTGGATCTTCACACTGTGCTCTCGCTGCCCTGTGATCTTTCTGCTTCCTGTTAACCTTTCTATGCCTTGAGCCTGCAGCTAAATGAGTCTGAACAGGCCATTGGACCCGTGGGCTTGATTTAGACTGAGCTGGGGTACCGCCTTGATATAAAATCACTTCTTAATATAAGATTTCTTATTATATAGTCATGAATGTCACTGGTTTTGTGTCTCTGGACAACCCAACCTAACACACCAGGCCAGCCTCCACCCCTGCCCCAGCTACCTGTGCTTGCCCACTGCAGGGAAGTCTCTAGAGAGTGGCTTTGGGTCGCTTTTCCAGAAGGTCACAGGAAAAGAAGTAGATGGCTGTTTCCTTCTATCCCCTTGTGTCTATTCAAGAGCATCCCTACCGTGTCCTCTCTAGTGCTCTGTGCTTGTTACAACTCTATGTTTGCAGCAGACACCACGGCCTCAGCCCATAGAACGCTCTCTCGCTCCATGAAAAGCCTTCTCCCTTATTGAAAAGTCTTTTATTTTCCTTTATGTTGTTGAGCGCATGCAAGGCAGCACACCCTCCCCACTATAGGACAGATTCTACCTCTGTCATCGTGGACACTAGGAGCATTCTTCAAGCCAGCCACTTTCCTCATGATCCCTTTCTGAAGCACTTCAATGTCATTCACAAGCCCTTTCCTGTGAAGCAGTCTCTCTTTGGTTATCTCAGTGTCCACCTCAACTGGCCCTGGATGCTAAATGAACTCTCTTTAGGAACCTTTGTACCCCCATCTCTCTTGAAATCTCATTGTCCATGACACCTGGCCTCCTGGATGCATCTACCTGAACACATCCTAGCTGTCCCAGGATGAAACCACCACCTACTCCCTGCCCTTATGGCTGGTCAGACAAACTGTTGGGTCCTGCCTCCAGCCTCCCCACACTCGTCCGTGGACAGCCTCAGTGATGGACACTCTTCTGCCTCCATCCCCACCTGAGAAAGTCCCTCCACCTTCCTCTGGCATTAAAGACCTCCCTTCCAACCTGCAGCAAATGAGGGTAAGTCAAACAGTATTGCTATGGGCTTAAGGTAATAAGTAAATAAATAGATAGATACATACATAAATAAAAGGCAGACACACTACAGAAACTCTCTAGAACAAAAATAGGAGAAAATAATAAGGAAAAACCTGGAGCCTTGAATGTGTGGAGGAAAAAGAAAGCTGATTGGGCCAAGTGAACTGGCAGAGAAAATTAAGTGGTGGTAAACTAGTGAATTCCTTGGGGCACAAATCGTCCCTACATGACCTAGCTGTTCTTGCACCCAAGACCTGTACCTAGTGGATCAGAACCACTGCCTCGTCCAGTGTCCCATGATGAACAAGTTAACAAGTTAACACAGAGTTTAAAACATCATGATGTCTCAGAAGGTCATTGCAGAAAGCAAACAGAATTGCACCAGACAAATATATGGAACAAAAAGAT